ACTCCAGCAAAGAGATATTTTTAATTCCCAACTTTCTCTGCATGGTAATACATACTCTTTGTAAAGTGGCAGACAGTCACCTTACAAGTTACTTCCCTCCCCTCTGTCTTTATGATAAGTCAGGGTCCATCCCAAACCACTCACTGTAAGACCAGCCTGCCTGGGGGGTGCGAGCCACCTACTGTGTGTATCCTGAGCTGACAGCAGATGGGGGAGGGGGGTGCCGCTCCCCACCCCGTCAGATCTGCTGCTCAGCCTCCTGTCTGACGCTGTGGGCAGGCTGCCTGGCCCCTGCACCGGACAGTACCCTCTAGCCCCCAAGTCAGGGAGCGCATGTCAAGCCACCAGTCATCCTCTGTGCATCCTTAAAGGGCAAGGATACCTGTTGTCTCTCATATGGAAAGAATCAGTGAAGTCCTCCTTGGAGAATCATCAAAACTCCTTGGGAAGAAAATACGGCAGGAACACAAGGCAAATAAAGCATGTGGGATTTAAGGATTCACTGAAAGACTTCTGTGATATTTGCTCTTATTTTATAGCTTTACTCTCCTACTTATAGAAAAAGAGTTATTTAAAATGAAGAAGCTATGGTGTTCCTACCTAACACCAAAAACAGTGTGGGAGGGAAAAAAAAAAAAACGAATGTTCAACCCTAAGGAGAGTTTTCAGAGAAACGGAAAAGAAGGCCAGATGGCAAAATCATCCACTCAAAATCATGGCTATGCACGCCCGGCCCTGCACCCGCGGCTGTGTGCGTGGCTCACACAGACGGCCGGTATCGCACCCAGGACCTGCATAATCTAAGCTCCCTGGGAATTTTCTGAGCAATTTAGGTCAGAGACAAAACTGAACGTGAAGGAGCTGTCTCGTTTCTGTGGGGCGACGCCGTCTCAACAACAGTGTGAAAGTGTTAGAGGAAGCGCCAGCCCCCACCGACGGCAGAGCCTCACCTTACCTGTTTGGGACATGAAACGTCACCATCCCACTCCTTCTCCTCGGCAAACCGGAACTGCGAGAAGGAGTCCCCTGGGAGTAGAAAAAAAAAAAAACACATACCATTTTATGCCACAGTCAAGGCAAACACTCAGCTCTCTAAATCTCCCCTTTGAGAGTAAAAATGCCATTTTTGAAGCACTGATCACCCGGAACACAGTGGCAGCATCCGAGAGAAGGTCCTGGCTTGCGCATCCTCATACGGCATGCCGGGCGCGGGGCACACCCGACAATACAGCTGGTGACCGTGCTGTTTCATCCAGCTCTCAGCGGGACACTGTCCTACAAGCTCCCTGAGAAACATCTAAACAGCCCAGGTCTGCAGACGTGGCCAGCTACCCACGCTTGGCATCTCTGCCTCTCATCTGCTCAGTGTATGCAAGGGAACTTCTATTTATGGTCTGGGGCAGGGGGCACAGCAGAGAAGGAAGGAGAAAAACAAAATTAAAGGAAAGGCAGTTCTCAACAGACCCACGACATGACAGACTCACCATCTCTCTCTGAGGTGGGGTTACCAACCTCAATCGTCTCTCCAAAAGCCACCTGATTAGAATGTCAAATGCAAAGTCAAACTCGAAGAACGTGCATGAGATTAGTTCACGTGAATCACGGGGCACTGCTCTGAGCTCTTGGAACAAAGGAAAAGGAATCACGATAAACCAGCAGGACAGATGATGCTGCCCAGCAAGCTTTGACACAGGGCTTATTTTGTGAATGTGCACTTACCTGGTTATTTGCATTAAGAACAGCTAATTTAGAAATAAAGAATTATTTCTCCACCTCGCTTTCAGGAGTCTCCAAAACGTGGTCCCGCCTCATTAACCCACATTTACTTCCTATTTCTTCAGACTTTCAGTCAGCCCTTTGTTCACATCCTACACATATTTCATTTTCCATCCTATCCTCATTTCTTTTTTAATCTTTCCTCTGGTCTAGAAAACCTGCACTCTTCTCCTCATTCGTATCCTATTTATACTTCAAGACTCAGGGACAGGCCCACTTCCTCCTCCTCTGACACCTCTCAGGTTACTTAACCAGAGAATCTATTCTTTATTTCTAACTTAAAAGAGAGGAAAAAGAAGTGAAGAATTCCAATTAAAGAGAAAGATAAAATCAGAACCCACACCATACCCCCAGCATTTACAAAACACATAGATCACACCTTAACACTGGACAAGATCAAATTCAAGGTAAAAAAGACCAAGAACATCACTCTTTACCATGAGAAAGGGAAAAATCAGTACCCTTTGTGCCAAATTAATGTGATCCCTCAAAATTATGATAGAAAGGAGCTGAATAATATTTATAAGGTCTTGTCTGTGCCTGTGGATGTAAGTGTACGTGTACATGTACATACTGTGATTAGGTGGGGGCACTTTCCTTATAAATATCTGTGCAATATTAATATTTTAAAAGGACTATAGAAAGGCTACAAAAAAGCCCCTAAAAACCCGAAAATGTAATAGTCCAAGAAACCATATTTGCTAATGATAAACATTTGCAGCACATATAGGCAAAGAGCCTTTCTCTTACAAAAGAAGAGCTTTTGCAAATTAATCAGAACAAAGCACCTAGGTGGTAAACAGGAAAAGGGGAGAGAATAAAAAATGCAAGCAGTTAATATATATGTGAAATAAATAATGAATAAATTAAAAATCAATCTGGTAGATTTTTAAAACTTAGTCTTTTCAAAACAAAAAACCAAAAAACCAAAACCAAAATAAAACAAAACTTGGTCAAACAATGCCTTATTCAATAGTGTTATTTTTGGCATGCCTGAACTTCTACATTATAAATGATCCTATGATTGCACACATCTTATAATATGTAATCAGCACAAGATAACAGTGATGCCCTGAGGCATGCTCTATGTATTTATTTTTGACATCCAAATATTCAACTTCAAATACAGGTAAGATTCCAACAGTGGCTAAAGAGCTTGTTGCAAAGCAATTCTCTTTGCTGGAAACAACTAGGAACACTGGGACAGACACACAAAAATCTATCTGAAGACATTAGAGAGGTACCGAGGCAGCAAGGAAGTGAGGGACAAAGGTCCCAGACAGAACAGAAGCACAGGGAGGTAAGTCTAACGTTTAGAACTGCTTTTCCCTCTAAGGCATTTGTTAGTTTCCAAGGTGATGCCCGAGAGACTGAAAAACTGAGCATAAAGTAACAACCAGGAGGCTGTGAAGCTGCGGAGAGTTTCGGCTAGTCCTATGGCACTGGGTGGACAAAAACTGGAGTTCAGGGTCCAGGGGTGAGGCCCCTGATAACCACATCTCAGAATGAGGAACAGGCCAGCCTCCCAAAGCACGAGGCAAAGCAGTGAATCAGCTCAATTTCTGATTCTGACTACAAGAAGCGAAAGATACATTCTTTTGGGGGGAAAATGACATTATCAATAGCCTAGAATTATCTCTAGCATATTTTATACACAGTGCCCAAAATTCATTAAAAGCCATCAGGTATATCAGGAGATAAGACCAAAACAACAGAAAACTAAGAGAGGGGAGAAAACAAACAAATAAAAAATAAGAGACAATAAGGGAAAAAATTCCACAAAGGTTAACATGCTGGAGTTACCAGTCACGCATTTTGTGATTTTGCAATATAAACATCTCAAAAATAGAAAAACTATAAAAATGACAGTGACACTCATGAGGTAATTTTTGACATACAAAATATACACATAAAAACACAAAGAAAAAAATGTTTGAGAAAAATAAGATACTTTGAACACGTTTTGTTTACAAAAATGAAACTCCACAAGAAGATAATTTTTAAATCTTAATAAAGAAAGCATAGAGAGGCTAGTTTGGGGGGAAAAAAACTGGTTAAATAACTATTAAAGAATGCCAAGCTCCAGACTTGTCAAGATTATGAATCCTAGAATCAAGAGTACTTCCGGAAAACGTTACCAAATTCTTCTTCTTGAGTTATGTGGAGACGTGTACAAAAACAACGTGGGTCTTGGGCAATGGGCTGCTCCTACATCCTGTACATCAAACAGTGGGACGTGCAGAAACAAGTGGAGACCTTTAAGACAGGACGGTGCATTAACAATACACTCGAACAGACTCACAGACATAGTAAACGATCTTATGGTTACCAGGGGAAAGGAGGTGGGAAGGGATAAATTTGGGAGCTTGAGACTTGCAAATGTTAGCCACTGTATATAAAACTAGATTTTTAAAAAGTTTCTTCTCTATAGCACAGGG